CAGCAGGGACGATATGGGAATGTTAACGAATGCGTGCTTGTATCTGTCTTTTGTAATAAATATGTAGTTACAGAAGTCACAGAGCCATTGTTTAGTAGCTGAAGCAGTTTCACACCTTTTTATAGATTTTAAAGGTGTTTTACTTTTTTTTTATGTTTTCTTAGAACATTAGAAACTGGTTTAGCTCATTTTGTGTGTGTGCGAGTAGTAGATGACACAATTTCTTGCTGTCTCTACAAGGCAAACTGTTACCATAGTACCAGCTGGGAAAGGAGACTAATAATATCTCTAGTTCTTCTTTCCATGGTAATAATGTTTTTCTGCTTTTTTTTTCTCCTCTATTTGGCAGCTTATTACACTGACGTTCCCAAAATAATTTATGCTTCCAGAACTCATTCACAACTGACACAGGTCATTAACGAATTAAAGAACACAGTCTACAGGTAAATATGATTTAGGATAATGTTCCTATTTAAAGAAAAGGTGGATAAACCCATCTGGTTTAGTTATTGTTTGAATTTATGTGGGTGAATATATGAAAAACTGATATCCACTGAAATGTAGTTCTCTTAATCTGCATGTATAGAACCTGGATTTCTTTGTTGTTGGGTTTGGGTTTGTTTTTTTTTTTTTATACTTCAGTGCTTCTCTTATCTCCTTCAATCATAGAATTTCCTGAATTTAGTCTGGTTTTGGTTCTTTACTTCACATGCTTGCTTCTAAAATCCCCCTTTTTTTTTCCTTTTTTTCCTTTTTTTTTTCCTTCTGGGGCATTTCTTTAAGGCAGCGGGAAGCCATTACAAAATTAAATTGCTCAGGCTGATGTAAATCTATGAAGAACTTTGTGGTTTTGCTGTACCAACATCTGTCACAGTTTCCAGCTGTTGACACGCCAGTGTGCTGACTGAGCTCTTTGGACAGGCAGTAATCATTTGTTTATGTGTTTCTTGTAAAGATACAGCCTTGTCATAAGCAAAAAAAGCGAATGTTTGTAGTGCATTAGTTCTTGTCATAACCTGACTCTAAAAATCACAGCCAGCTCTGGAATAGCTTGTAATAAATGACAGGCCCCAGCTTATTTGGCTGAACTGTCATAACAGAACCCAGATTTTATAGTGGATGATGTAAGCTGCTACTCTTTGCCTCCTGCTGTGAACTGCTGCTTATTACCACCCACTGCTACCAGGAGAAATGCCGTCCCATAAAGTCAAATAACATGTGTAGCTGTTACACGCAAACTTAGTGTTTCTGATTGTGACCCTTATTTTGGGCTCATCTATTTCTCCTGAACTTTTTGCTTTTGATATATTATACCCAACATAGGCACGTACGACTGCATTCTTCTTGCCTTATTTTTAACATTGGTTTTGTATATTCTGTTTGAACAGGCCAAAGATATGCGTTTTGGGTTCCAGAGAGCAGCTTTGCATCAATCCTGAAGTGAAGCGACAGGAGAGCAACCACATGCAGGTGAGAACAGAGCCTTGAAAGCATGCACAGTGAGAACCTGGAGGTTTTTTGTTTTGGTGTATGGTGTGAAATTCTTAACTCTGACATTGTTTAGCTACTGGAGGCTGTAGGCCAAGATAGTAGTTCTAAATTCAAGTTTCTATAAGTTTTGAGGAGCTTTTCGTTTCTAGTTTTGTAAGTGCAAAATTTAATTCTGAGTCTCTGGTAGCATTTTCCATCCAGAGAAGGATGTCATTGTGTAGAACATGTGAGTTAATAGTTTGCAGTTTATTTTGTGATCTGCCATTTAAGTGTTTTTCAAGAGCAACAATAATTTCAAAATAGTGCTTCAGTGATTGATTTACCTGCTATTTTTACAAGTAATATCAAAGATTACTGTTTTGAAAAGTATTAGTGGCAAAATATAACAACATTTCCTCTGAGCATCTGAGTGTTCAGTGCTGCATAAGAGAGCCTAACTTTTAAGGTGGACAGAGGGACACATGATTTTAAAACTGAAGAACTGTGATTAGCACTTATTCATTAGCTGCTGTTACAGAAATCGAATAGCTCTTTCACCCCTTAACATGCTTTTCAGTGCTTGACAAACTGTGCCGCTCTTGCCTAAAATATAGTATATTTTACAGATCTACATGTGCCGAATGAAAGTGATGGCTCGTGCTTGTCATTTCTATAACAATGTGGAAGGTGAGTTTGGCTGTGGAAGTAAAGCCCTGGTTTTTGGAGAGGGAGAGATTTGCTAGGCAGATAGAGAAGTTTGGAAGAGTTGGCAGAATCTGCCTCTGTGTGTGTGTTGCTCTGTGTTAATGTCTTTCAAGAGTGAAAAGTTAGGAAGTGGATGAGCGTGATGATGAGGGTTAACAACAAATCTTTGCGTGATACCTTTACCTAAGCTTGTGGTTGTAATGTAATTTTTCACAGAGAAGAGTACAGAGAAAGAACTGATTGAATCAATCATGGATATCGAAGACTTGGTTAAAAATGGAAGCAAGCACAGGTGAATGATCCCCTCTGACCTTCCTCCCCCTTACTTGAGAAAAGTTTCCACTATTTTCACTGCTCATTTTTATTAATCCCTTGGTATGAACTTGGCATACACTAAAGTAGCAGAACAATGATGACAGCAAAGTGGAGTGGCTAAATATGTTGCAGAGACAGCTTCCAACAAAATCATGTGTGCACTAAGGCCTTAACTTCTGTTACTGCAGTTTTGATCGTACAGCAATTTATTTCAATCCTTACTTGTGTAAAGACTGAATCGGATCTGAGTCAGGTTCACCAATGTTTTATTTCCCGCTTGGGCGGAGGCTGCCAATATCATCTGACATGACAAATGATATTGCAGTTTTGTTTCAGATCTAAGAGGATGAAGATGACTGTTTTGTTGAGATAAAATAGTCTAGTGCCGCTTTTACTTCTAGCCTAAGGGGTGAAATGATAATGCAGTAATGAATGCCACTCTTTCTCCTTTAATTTCTTTTTTCTTTGTTTTGTTGAGCTGCACAGTTAGGTATTATTTTCTATGCTTCTTTTTACTTGTGTTGTGTGAATAGAGCTAACCATTTGCCCTAGAATTAAACATGCAAGTTTCAACTTCTTAAGAAGTTGATTAGAAACCCTTGAGATTGTGAAACATAGTACACGAATGCACTCTTAATATTTCTGCAAGTATTACTTTATCGTTTTACTACTTTTTTTTTTTTAAACAGAGCTTGTCCTTATTATCTCTCTCGAAGCCTGAAGCAGCAAGCAGATATTATTTTTATGCCTTACAACTATTTACTAGACTCGAAGGTAACATATATCTTTGCTTTTAAATGCAACTGCTCTTCTATTTATCTTCTATTGGCTTTCTAGTGAAGAACTGATGCATAGCAAGTGAATGTATTATGTGGTATACTTCAAAAGTAATCAAAACCCAGTTCAAATTCAGAACCACAGAGGATGCCTTTTTGTGTTTTTCTCTGTGAAGTTCTTCTTTCCCACAGGTAAGAAATATTTTCTTTTTTCTTTTTTTTGTTTGGGTCTTGCTATTTTTATAGAATTAGCTTTGCAGAATGTGATGGCCTTGTTGTTTGATATTCACCTCCTGAATACAAATCTTCAGTCACATACTATGCAGTATTTTTGCATGCATTCTAAAACATTTTTGTTTCTGCAGCCAGCTACATGATTTCTAGAATAAGGAAACTTTTTCAATAGAGATTGGACATCTCTCTTGGAAATAATTGCTGGCTTCATAAAACAAACAAACAAAAACCAAAACCAAACAAACCCAAAAACCAAACCTGTTGCAATAAGTTGTCCATATTTCATGGATAGAAAATGAAACCTTTCAAAACTGTTGAGGAAACAAATCTGCTGACATCTTCATGCAACTTGGAGTAATTAATGAATTATAGTAAAAGCCAGATTACATTCCACTAATACAAAAGGCAAAAAGACCAAATGTTTAAGAAATGAAAAAATAAAATAAAAAAAACTCTGACCACCTTAAGCCCAGAAGCACTGTGAAATGAAGTTATGTCATCTGGTACTGTCGGGGGTGTTTTCAGAGCATCCACTTCTTGCAAAGACGACACGAGCATAAATTTGTAAAAACCAGGCAAATCCCCCTACTTCGCACCCCACTCTTCCCAGGTCCCTGTCGGCAAAAATAGCGACTGAAATTAATTCTGATAAACTTGTGTATCTTAGTATGGTACAACTGGTTTGTTTTTTTTTTTTCTTTATTACGATGTAAGATGTAACCTCCATGAACTTTTACATGTTGAATTTTATCACCTTCATTTCAAGAGAAAACGATTCCATGGTTTATATATTAGGTAGCCACAGTGATTACTTGCTGTTTCCTCAAAAAAAAAAAACCACAAACCCAAAACCCCAAATCTGTCTGATGAGCCAATTTCTCTGTATTTCTGTGTGACCTTTTCGTCCATTCCCTCGTTCTCTTCTTTGTCTTTAGAGCCGGAGAGCGCACAACTTAGACCTGAAGGGGACTGTAGTAATACTTGATGAAGCTCACAATGTGGTAAGTTGTTTCTGGTCTGTTGCCATTTTTCAAACTTCATCCAAAGAGAAAAACGGACCCGTGCCCTATTGCACACAGTCTGTGAAATCTGTACTCGGCTATTTCAGCGGTTAACGTTTGTTATCATGAATATTTCTTGTTTCTGTGGCAGTTAAAGCATTGTAGGTTAATTAACGGTTCTTTGATGCTACTGTGATTTTTCTACAAGATGATCCTTTCTTCCTGAAAGGTGGATCTCCAAATTTATGAGGGGGCTTGTTTCCTTGTTTGGACAGTTCTCTTCCAAGGTATAATAAATCATGAGAGATCCATTCTTGAAGCTCAGCTGCATCAGCTGTCCAAGTGCAGTAGACGGCAAATGTGACTCTTGAAATATTTCCAGTTCTTCACTTGTAGAGGGGAAAAAACAAGTCCTGCATTATGAGATCTTCCTCTGAGCTTGAAACTGCAGCCCTTTGCCGAAATTGGAAGTGTTCAAAAAATGGGCAGAGGTGGCACTTGGGGACATGGTTCAGTCTGGTCTACCCTTGATTGGTTTAGCGTGGACTTGGTAGTGTAGGTTAATGGTTGGACTGGATGATCTTAAAGGGCTTTTCCAACCTGAACGATTCTAGGATTCTATGATTCTAAATAATGAAATGCAAAGGAACATTTGAAATATGTCCCTTTTTTCTACCATGCGAACAACCTCCCAGAGGGATTTCTGCTAAACAGCTGAGAAGTTTATTTTCTGATTGCCAGTTCTTCTCTCAGAAAACAGGCCACCAGAGGGTGTGCTGTGTTTGACTGGAGAGAATTGCAGAGTTATGTTCAGTATGTGCCCTTTTCACCAGAACATTTTTTTACTCTTGCAAAATGGGTGGAAATCTAGTCATAGTTGTTGGGATTTTGGGGTTGGTTTGGTTTTTTCCCCTTTGTGGTCTTTTAAAAATATTAATAGATGCTTGCATGCAGAAATTAACCAGAACAGCCATTTGAGAACTACTTGTTTTGCAATAATTCTCCCATGGTACCGTCTGTTCCAGGTTAATATGTGGAAATTTAGTAGTTACTCCGAAACAAAATCGACTTCTTTCCAATTAGGTTGTTTACGCATGCAGCTAGTTCAACATTTTTTTTTTCTTTATAACTTGTTTCTTCATAGCTATTGCAGTCAAATTTTTGTGTAGGTTAGTCCTTACTATATCTTTCCATTCCTCAGGGAATATGTTTCTTTTAGTGAATGATAAATTGGTGACAAAACAATATGTGACATATTTTTCAAGGTCATAGAGAATTTTGTCAAACTTAGGAGTTTGGTGAGTGTTCAAACCATTACTTTTTTTTAAATAGAAAGTTCCTTCTCTATAAAAATATTTGTTCTGCATAGATTTTGGCCCAGATTTTACATATGAATAATATAATTTTATTGCTTCTTTTTTTTTTTTTCATGGCCCCCCTTCCCTTTTTTCTCCATATGCTCATCTCTGAATGTAAGATCACGAGGGGCAAGGACCATGTCTTCATCTGAGTGAATATAGGGATACGAGTATTTCCTAGGAGTGTGAGAGGGACCAGGAAATAGCTCTTTCAAAGGACAAACCAATTCTCTAACTAAAAAATTTGCTACTCGGACAATTTGTCAGCAGAGAGCAAGCTATTTGGCGACTGCGCAGGAGAAACAAAAGGATGTCAAGAAAAATCTGTTAGCAGCCACAGTAAGAACACAGAGGATGTGACACCTATTAAAAACAAAAGGGATCTTAATGATGACAGTGATTTGCTATTAGATGGGAGCGGTAGAATGTTGATAATGGGAAGAGGCAAAATCTGTTCTACATTTCAGAAAAAAGGATGCCTAGTAATAGTCAGAGTCTTCAAGTGTTTGTAAATTGTCCTCTGGCCTGAGCCGTCCAAATAATGCTTCCATTCCTTCATATTTTAGGAGAAGCTGTGTGAGGAGTCGTCATCTTTTGACTTGACGCCCTACGATTTGGCTTCGGCAATGGATGCTATAAATGTCGTACTGGAAGAACAAGCCAAAGTAGTTCAACAGAATGAAATAAATGCTGAATTCAATATGGAGATGGCCAATTCAGGTGTGTCGAGAACCACAAACCAGTTTCACTGGGATTATAGGGTGCCATTAGCAAGAACAGGAAAATAACTTTTCCTAACTGTTTCTGGAAAATTGACTGTCATTAATAGATAAATTATCATTAATTAGTAATTGCTGCCAGACAAACATGAAAAGATTTGGCCAAATCGGTGTGACATGAGGGGTCATGAAAGAGAACGGTGAGTGGAATACAGAAGTTGTCTTTCCATATACACAGTTCTAGCCTTCATATCCATAATTTCTGAAAAGGCATAAAGAAGCTAGGAATGAAACAGAAATGAAACATCCTCTTTGAAATCTTTCCTTTCTTCAACAGGACTGAACATGGAACTTGAAGACATAGCAAAGATAAAGAGTAAGGCTAATTTTTTTTTGTGCGTTTGAGTTGAAAATTGTCATTGAAACAGTTTCAGAAGGTCAACAACTATAAATCGGTTCACATAGCATTTCTGTAGACATTTCACATAACTGAGAAATTTGTGGAAGTTTAAGTTGTGTCTCTTTTTTTTTTCCAGAGAATTTTGTGGAAAGTTTAGTTACGGGTTTTTTTCCAAGAAGTTGAGAGATTTGGCAGATGAATGCATTGCTTCCTTTGCTAGAAGTTCCCTTGTTTTCTAATCTTGTTGGTGTGCTGGCAATTTATTAGTTTCATTGTTCTGCTGTAAGAACATGTTGCTACAAAAAGTTAATAGCAAGAGCTTGAGATGTCTCATGTTTCCAAAGCATTTCCAGGAACAACTTTCCCCATGTGTAGAGAAGAATTTAACATCTAGTTGACAACTGTGTTTTCTAAGAGTATCACAGGCTTTATCTAAGAATTGAGGGCATAGAAGTTCTTAAAGTTGAATACAAATATTTAGAAATGATATCTAGGAAATTGGTTTTGATCACTTTGATTTATTTATAGAATCAAGCAAGCAGCTTGGTTGCTGTCTTTGGTAACAGCCTTTGTAATAAAATACATGTGAAAAAGAGGCTTAGCCGTGTCCCAGAAGTGAGTTTCTGTGAACTGTAACTTTTTTTTTTTTTCCTCTCTTGGTTCTCTTAAAGAAATTCTGCTTCAGCTAGAAAGTGCTATTGATGCAGTGGAGCTGCCACTGAATGACAGTGGAGTCACCAAAGAGGGAAGGTAAATTTTTTTCTCATTGATATGCTTACACATTAAAAGTACAGCAAATTCTACACCCAGGTGAAACTGGGTCAGCTGTTAGGGTTGGTAGCAGCTGTTAGGATTGGTAGTACTGTTCTAGTTTCTGGGAGTAGTATTTATTCAGGGTTTTGGCTTTCCTTAAATCCCCTTTCTGTAGTAATCGTTATTTCTGGTGGAACTCCCTTTTAAAGTGTTTCAAGGGTGGAAAATCCTGTGCTGTGTGTATGCCTGTCAGGCATTCTGAACCAGAAGAAGCGCCCCACGGTGCTTCTTTCAATTTCGATGTCATGATTTAAACAGAGGCACTCGTGCTGCAGTGGTTTGGCTTGAGGTACCTCAGAGCTCTGCAAGGCTATTTCTAAAGTAATGCATATTGTACATTGTAAAAAAAAAAAAAAGATGGAAATTGCACGCAAATCTGTTTCTAAATTAAAACATACTGTATGTTGTAGAGAAATCATGGAAAATATGAAGGATGTGGTCAGTATGCTTTCTGTCATGTCAATATTGTCTGCTGTCTTTATAACCAAATGCTTGGTTTTATTCCTGTAAATTTTTCTTTCTCATGGAGACAAGGACATGTTTTGTACTAGGTGGTAAAATCGTTGTTGTTATACAAGAGTAACAGTAAATGTGTCCATGTGATTATTTACAGTGTTTACCCATTTGTGCTTTTTCTTTGTAAATTGCAGCTACATCTTTGATCTGTTTGCAGAGGCCCAAATAACATTCCAGACCAAATCCTCGCTCTTGGAGTCGCTAGAGCAGATTTTACAGTTTCTTTCAGGCCGTAAGTGTAAATTTGTTGGTTGTTTCTCTGTAATGTAAGTAATTGAAACTTTGCATTGTTCGGGGAAAGGAGGAGAAAGGCTTCCTTGTTTAGCTTTAAATTGTAAAGCTTTTAAAAGCTAAAATCTGACCCTGACTGAGGACCCGTGTCTTTTTATTAAGACTTGCTGTGAGGTCCTCTGCTGGGAAACACGTTTTATGTCTGCTCATGCTACAGAACTAGTTCTAACAACTGCTTTGTGTCAAAACCTGAGCATGTACCAACTTGTGTGTGTACATACACGTCCATATGTAGAGGATTTTTGCACACAACACTATTTCTCTCCAAAACCAGAAGGACTGTGGGGTAGAGCTTGTTGACATTTTGCTGATGGTACTTTTAGTGTCTTGACTTCTTCCCTGGTCATGGAGTTATGAAAACAGGAATCATGTAATGTGGTTTCTTTGGGGTTTTTTTCTTTTTTCTTTTTTTCTTGATGTAGCCAGCTTCTGCTCTACCATCTACCAGCATTTTGTTCTTAATTTGCCTTTCTGCAAAGAAAAATCTCCAACTTTTACATGTGCTAAGATGATGATTTATTTAGTTCTTACTAGCAGACTCTTCAGTAAAAGCATTGAAGAGAGGAAGCCCGCTCCGTGGAGACTAAAATACAGACTGTCAGTTCTGCAAGTGCATCCTTTGAGAACACATCTATCCTTTTTCTTCCCCAGCATCTTTCTCCTTTCAGGCTGTTTGCACTCTGACTTAATAGGCGCATCTGTTTATCATTTCTGCGGTCAAATTCTCATCCTCAGTGTATTTCATAAGTTTTTTACTGATCCTCTGTAGTCACTGTTTTAAGCATACTAGAAGCTTGGAGGTGATTGTGAAGGGCTATTTATAACTCTAGCAAAGGTTAGTTTTGTCTCTCTGCGTAACAGGGGAGTCAGTTTTCTGTTCTTTTTGTCATGAGACTATTAGTTGTGTGAGCTTTTGAAAAAGTAACAAAAGAGTTTAAGCATGCTAATTTTTGTTTTAATTATCTCCTTTCCGATTTTTAATGTAGAGGAGCCTTAAGAAGTTTATATAATTGTCTCGGGTGACAGCTTCCCAATGTGTCAGGGACCTGAAACTTCCTCTGGAATGCCAGTTTTCCATTTCCCCTTGCATCTTGAATAATGATGAAAAACTTGAAATAATTTATTTGTTTCAGATAATATTTTCAAGTCATTGTATTCAGAGTGTTGTGCTGTTCAGATAAGATATGGATATATACAAATGGATGTGTATTTGTGTTTGTAAAAGTAATTGTGTGTTATTCTCTCTAGGTACTGGGATATTTGTCAATACATCTGGATTGCATAAGCTCTCAGATATTATCCAGGTAAATAATTAATGCTGTTTCTATATACGTTTGAAGGATAGAAGAGTTGGTTCTAAAAATGTGGAAAGACATTCTTGAACGCGTGTATACTTGTGCAGGATGGAAGTCTATGGGCTTTTAAGGAGAAAGCTGCTGCCTAATGGGATGGTCTGCTTTGATTTTTGCACAGGTTGTTCTTTTACAGTTTTGATGTCCCTTTTTGGAGGTGCTTGATGTAAATTTGTCTGCTTTTAGCCTTGTGGTTTAACCCCAGTCGGCAGCGAAGCACCGCACAGCCGCTTGCTCACTCTCCCCCTGCCCTGCCATGGGATTGGAGAGGACGGGGGGGGGGTGGGGGGGGAAGTAAACCTGTGGGTTGAGATAAAGGCAGTTTAATAGGACAGCAGAGGAAGGGAAAGTAATAATAATAATGATAACAGAATGTACAAAATAAGTGATGCACAATGCAATTGCTTGCCACCCGCCAACCGATGACCAGCCTGTCCCCGAGCAGCGATCGCTCCCCCAGCCAACCCACCCCCAGTTTCTATACTGCCCATGGTGCCGTATGGTATGGAATGTCCCTCTGGCCAGGTTGGATCAACCATCCCAGGACGGACCAACCATCCCCTCCCAGCTTCTTGTGCCCCTGGC